GTGAATTAAAGGGATGTGTATATTTATGCATATAGTTTTGGTTTGTGGTTTATTTAGTTACTTTTTATTAAATGTTTCTATGTTTTAGACTTTTGGACTTCAGAATTTTCAGGAAACTTGTGTGGCTCCCTAGAAATGTAGCCAGAGAACACGTTTTCCAGGAGGCAGAGTAGTGTGAAATTGTGAATTTAATAAAAACTAATATACATATGCTGAATGAATAAAGAAAGAATTATGTTTCTCATTTTCCAGGAGGGCAAGTGCCCCCTCCTTGCCCCCCACCCCATCCTGTAGATGCTCATGATCGAACACTTGATGTTAAAAGAAAATTTATACAATGGGTAAAGTATAACAGTAAAACTTCTTGTGTTTAAGACTAATAACATAGGTACATTAATATGTAGAAATATAAGCAGACTTTTCTCTATGTTAAAATACTTTTATTTGCAAACTTTCAGCACTATTACCGGAGCCTTCATTGGGGAACAATTTAGTGAGCGATAAAATTTTGTTAAACTGTGAAATACTGCTTTAAAATAGGTATCTAGGCAACAGTCATAACAATAACTGACATCTGGTATTAAAGTGGACCACCAGTGGTTATTAATCAAAACAATGCCAACAACTACTCAGTACTGCATAGACACTACTAATAAAAGACATAAAGCATATTATTTGTTGTGGTTTCAATGTAAAATTAAACCTTTTAATTTTACAACGTATTATTTGAAGTTGAAAAATTCCTTTATTTTTATTTCTCTATATAATACCTATAGTTGTATTTTCCCTATGTTTATTATATCGAAGCAATCAATTTATATTCCATATTCATCGTAATTCTATATGTCTTATAACTTTAATACCAGATGTTACTTAGATACATATTTTAAAGCAGTGTTCTACAGTTTAATGAATTTTTATCATTCAGTATATTGTTGTCCAATGAAGGCTTTGGTAAGAGGGCCAAAAGCTTGCAAATAAAAGTATTTTAACGTAGAGAAAAGTCTGTGTAAAATTCTACACAGTAGAAGTTATTCCTCAGACAAATCTTTTCCTCCCGGGCTTCAAGTAAGATTAATTTTACACTCTTGATTTTATATTTAATATGAAAACTTTGTGGATGATGCCATATAGCAAGTAGTGGAAAAAGATACTAAAATTTTCAGCTATTGATTATGGTTATTAGTTGAGTAAATAAACTGTAAATGTTCTTGGAATTTATCAAACTTAAACCTAATTATAAATGTTTAGCATCAAAATATTTTTCTACAAGTCTCTTAGTTTACAAGAAAAACACATTTTCAAAGATAATCAATCAAATGTATTTCAGATTTAACAGGGCCAAGTTTACCCTCATTAAATAAACAGATCATGTCTAGTGCTCTGACTACAGTTCAGAGTAGTCTATTATTTCAATGAAACTAACATACAAAATGTATCACCTTATGGCTGTATAGGACAGTGCACGCCAATGCTACTAAGTCTTAAATGTAGAAAGCTAAATCTGACCATGTATGAAGTTCTACATGTGCTGATGGGTTTTGGTAAAGGACACCAACTGGAATATTTATTGATTGTATTTTCCAAAACATACCTCCTCTCACACTACCGCTATTACTCAACTGTTAGGGTTTCCTTCCTTTTCCCATCTAAGTATTGGTCAGATTTTTTCTTGCTTGCTAGTCTTTTATTCCCCACTTAATTGCCCTTGGCAATATCTGTCTCGTGACACTCTCCACCTAAAACCCCACAGTCATTCCAACCGAGCAGAAGAGCCTCGTAGATATGGGTAAAATCTGTTCTGGGTACCAATTGATCGAGGGGCTGATGTCGGGGGTCAGGATACTTGAATAGGGGCAAAACCATAACCACCATCCTGTATGAGCTGAGGAAAGTCTAGGAGCCAATGATGACAGGAATTCATGCCATATATCAGCTTACCAAACAAATTTATTTATTTTTTTGTTACAAAAATCAACTAGGTGACATGAAGAATGATCAAAGCGTCTCCACCAGTCACAGTACAGAGAAACCTGTTCCTGAATACTTTGTAGAGAAAAAGTGATAATATCTGAATGAGGTGCTTATATACAGTACTAGGAACAAAACACAAATAGTGGCAGGATGACTCCACTATGAGAATGTGTAGATAGGTGTCCACGGCATCAAACATGGTCGTCCACAGTCCTGGTGAAAAATGCCACTACAGAATAAGGAATAACTCCATCGTGAATCTGGGAGGTTCTAAGAATTGGTTTAGACTAGAAAGATCGATGACCGGACGCCAATCTCCCATCTTCTTGGGCACAACAACAGTCGGGAATAAAACCCTGGAAGAACTGTGTTGACTCTCTCCACTGCCCCCTTGATCAAATCTCTGATAGCCCTGGTACGAAGTTCCAAAACGTGAGGGGATAGTGGTGGTGGTGATGTGAACTGAATGACTAATTCTGATGCAAGAACCTGTAGTACCCATGGATCCATGGAAAAGATATTCCATATGTTCAGCCAACTCCTACCTCTTATGATAAAGCCTACCTTGGTGGCTTCTGAAAGGAGAATCTGGGTGTGACATTCCACCAACTGACGAGATGTTGCCAACAGTAATCAGTCATTCATATAATGGTGTGTGCATAGACCTAAGGAATGGAGGTGACGAGAAAAAGTTTGTACGATGCTGCAGAATACAGTGCCAATGCTAGTCCAAAGGGCAGAGCCTTGAACTGCAGCATCTGACCCTTGTGCCCTAGAAATCTATTCTCACTCCAACACAATATATCGTCCATCTGGGTGTCTTTTTTTAACACGTATCTCATTTGAGTTCAGCCGACTCCTATCTGATTCCACACTATGGAACAAGCAGTCAGACTCTTACTCATGTCTCCTTCCACTGCACAGATGATTCTTTCCCTTTTGGAGATGTGGGCATCACTCAATTCCCTCTTTCCTTTGGAACGAGCACACAAGATCCCTTCAGTGGTTGCAATGTGACCAATGGGTCATGAACAGCAATCTACTGGATTACCTAGTCTCCTTATTCAGGATCAACATCTTTGATCTCAAGTGATGGTTAGCTCGGAACAATATTACAATAGGTGTTCTTCTGCCACCATCCCATCCTGAGATCCATCTCTTCACAGATGCCTCGCTTCAGGGATGGGGTGCATATTTCAACTGTTAGGAATTCCAGGGCCTATAGACAGACGACGAGGCTTCCCTCCATATCAGTTTTTTTTTAGAACTTCTTGCTGTTTAAAGGGCAATGTCTCAAGGTTTGAAATTATTGAGGGGAAAAAAGCATCATGCATCACCCTGACAATTCCATGGCGGTGTCTTACATTTCCCATCAAGGAGACACTTAGACCAGATCTCTCTGTTTACAGACATTAGATCTTCTTTATTGTACCCACTCTCATCACATCAGCCTACTAGCTTGTAGGGGTGATGAATATGACAGCAGATCAATTGTCCCAATCCAACCAGATTTTGAATGGATGATTCATTACAAGGTTTTCCATTGGATTTGCTCTCTGTTCAGGACACCAATGATTGATGCATTTTACAATCAATCGAACACTCAACTACCATCATTTTGGTCTCTCGTATCTCACCCTCAGGCATTGGCAATAATTGCATTCAGTCAGGACTGGGTGTGATTGCACACCTCAATGCCTTCCCACCAATTTTTCTGTTACCCAGAGTTCTAACTATGGTTCAGTCAACCCCTTGTTGTGTTCTATTGGTAGCACCGGATTGGCTGGCTCAACCCTGATTTCCACTTCTTTGATACCTTCAAGAGTGCCCACCTCTTTCACTTCCTAATGGTACACCAAGCTATCTCGAAGCTCAAGATCCATGCATGGAGGTTCTACAGTCCTTCACATGGCATTGGGGTTTAACTTCTAATGTTATCATGTATCGGTTTCTGCACAGTCCCATGATTGACATTTATCAATGGAAATGGCACACATATCAACAATGGTGTATTACAAGAAGATTGAACCCACTCCGTCCAGACGTGCCAAATGTAGCTCATTTTTTTACCTGGCTATTTGAGAAGGGTTTAGCACCTTCTGCAATCGCCTTATATAAGGCAGCCTTATTTATTACCTTTAGATAGTCAAAGAGATGGAAATTATTTGGGTCACCAGTGCTCTCTGGCCTCCTCAAGCTGTTTCAAGTCCTT